GAACACAGGATGTGTGTTCGTGTTCGTTCGATTAACAAAAAGCTCGTTCGTATTCGTTCGTAACTCGTTCGTATTCGTTCGACTAACTCGTTCGACTAACTCGTTCGACTAACTTGTTCGACTAACTCGTTCGACTAATTCGTTCGATAATTTTTAAATACCTGTTCGAATAACTCGTTCGATAACTTGTAAACACATGTTCGAATAACTCGTTTAAATACCTGTTCGAATAAAAAATATACACCAACTTTCCAATTGATGCTCTAAAAAACAAATATGCAACAATTTATAATTCATACCCATTTAATTCAACATTTGAAAATAAACCAACTCTCTATCTATATTTATATTTTAAACAAATCAATAAAAACTCAGTAAATTAAAATAACTAACCATCATAAATAATAAAATTTCAAAATAAATTAAACAGAACAATAAATCATTCAAAACAAATTTAGTTCCATATCAAGCATGACACAAACAAAAAGAATTTGTTTACATATATATTTATTATCATTACATAAATTATCATAAATATTTTAAATGTTTACATATATATTTTGTATCAACGCGCATAAATTTATAGTGAAATGAAAATCTATTGTAATATATGATCAATACATATGTGTGATTAATTTGTTATATATAAATATATATTATTATTACTGTCTACATATACATTTTGTATCAACACCCATAAATTCATAGTGAAATGAGGGTCTATTATAATATATGATCAACATATATGTGTGATTAATTTGTTATATATAATGTATAATTGTGTATATACAAAATTATTATTATACATATATTAATCATAGGTTAAATATGTTATGAAATTACCAAAATTATAGGTCATCATATATTTATTATCATTACATAAATTATCATAAATATTTTAAATGTTTACATATATATTTTGTATCAACACTCATAAATTTATAGTGGAATGAAAGTCTATTGTAATATATGATCAATACATATGTTATCATTACTGTCTACATATATATTTTGTATCAACACCTATAAATTCATAGTGGTATGAGGGTTTATTGTAATAAATGATCTATACAAATGTGTGATTAATTTAGGTTTAATTAAGCTATTATATTATTAAATTTGTTATACTATACATCGCTTGATTATACAATATGTTATGTTTATCAATTTACCATACTATATTTATTATTTATTAATTGAAATGCTATCTTATAATATTTAATTATTGATTACATTTAGAAAAATATGAAGCTATTATGTTATTGGATTTACTATATTATATATCACTTGATTATACAATCTATTATGTTATTAAATTTGCCATGCTAGTTATCATAATAATTTATTACTTTTTAATTAAAATGTTATATACTTATATATTTAATTATTGATGACATTTGGAAAAAAAAAAAAATCCAAATATATTATATATATAAGAAAAACAAAAGTATCATAATATTTTATTATTGATTACCATTAAAAAAAAATTCATCCAAACTAAATCAAACATAATATAAAAATGACAAAAAAAATTAAATTATAATAATGCATAACATTTTTTTCGAACATAAACGAACGAACAATCGAACGATTGTTCGCGAACGGATGGATTAGTCGAACGTATAGTGTTCGCGAACATAATCGAACGAACAACCCCTGTTCGAACTCGATCGAACATATTATCGAACGAATATCGAATTGTTCGCGAACAAATGTTCACGAACATTATCGAACGAACAACGAACGTTCGCGAACTGTTCGGTTCGTTTGCAGCCCTATACCAGCCCCTTCGGAGTCTTCCCCACTTCTCCCATGCCTCCCGAACCACTCGGGCCAATCGCGCTCGTCCTTGGGGTAGCTACACAAACTCTAGTCGGTAAGCCCATCGGAACGCCCCCCTAGGGCATCATCACTATGGTAGGGGCACGCTCATACTCATCCCCAGCGTCTGCCACAATCCCACTCGAGCCACCTGATTCAGAGTCTGACATGATTGGCCCGATCGTCCAGCTCGACCGACCGACTTGATCCTTGCTTCCAAACTCCCAAAAAACCTAAGGGTCAATAGTCACTCGCCCTTAATAACCGATCGAGCAGAACAATGCACCCAGTTCCTACTCTTCCTTCAATACCGGTCGACCTGTCAACGTCAACAAACTGTCAACTCTCACAAGCTTAAGCTCCGATCGACCTTCTCTGTCGACTGACTAGATCCAAAGTCAACAATCTCTCTTCGCTCGCCCCAAATGACCAACCGACCTACCTTCAAGCTCACCCCTGTGAGTCTACTCGCCCATGCCCACCGACTCACCAGTCCAAGTATTCACTCATCGATCCACCCATTCGGTCTGGATGATCGATCCCTTACTCGAGTCTACCCTTCTCATAATCTACTCACACTCGGTCGGATGGATCGAACGACCTATCTATCCCACTTACCTGCCAGTTACAACCCAGATCCACCTTAGTCGCTTGATTCGGCCAGACATACCGACCGAGCCGAATCAAGATGCTACGTAACATGACTTTGTCTCCCTTTTTTCTGTCCAAAATTCCAGAAAACACCAAAAAATCGGGGAAAACCGTGCCTATTCCAGAAAACCAAAACTCCAAAACGCCTCAAAACCAATCGAAACAACACAAACTTCGTCCTATTTTCCAAAAAATTCAGCAAACAAAACAAACCAAAGAAGAGAACACTTACCGTAAAACGACAGACTGTAGAAAGGAAGCCGCCACTGCACGAAGAAACTGAAACAGGAAAAAGAAAGAAAGAAGAAAATTTTCGTTTCAAAGGAGAATGGAAAATGAAAAATGCAAAGAGGGAAGACGAACATACCGCCCCTGCGTTTTTATAAAGAAACTCTAACGGAAGTAGACACGTGGCAACCTGCAATTGGGCCATCGTCAGAGCAACGTTTCATTTTTTCGCTTCCAAAACGAAAGGATCATCATCACCGTATGCATGGCAAAGATCCACGGCACCTGGGAAACTGCAACGATGTACGGAAGCCTGGATCGACCGCCCTAGCCTCCCGACTGAGTCAGCACGCGACTGTCAGTGGACCCAACATGCCCCCACGATTCACAAGCTCAAGAGATCCCCCCGACTGGTCGACCAGCTAGAACGATCGAGCCCGAGCTCCCTCTCGAGATGAACAAGGCAGGAGTCCTCGCCCGTCCGGTCTTCCTTAACGGACATATGGACAACCAAAAGCCGAAGCTCACGCATTTCACCCACTCGGTCACCCGAATACGCCGACCGAACGAACCTTCGTTCCTACCGTCTTTAACTCATTCGACCCGGCCAGTCGAGCGGATACAACTATCGTGGGATGTTAGTTCACTTCTCCAATCAGTAGGACACACTGAACAGACACGTGAGCCCTAGAGTCTCCTCATCTTAGTCTGTTCGACCCTTCGCACCGATCGGGCATACCTTCGTGTGGTGATGGCAGGTTCTGGATCGGCTTGGGTATCGAGCAACCTATATCCAACTGTTCAACTACACCGACAGTCGGTCGTCCAGGAAGGAAAACCGAGCGCACCTTGATCGCTTCCTACTCTCTGACTTAAGAACTTCTTAACTCAGAGAGTGGGGGAGAAACTGTTAGGGCCAAAAATCACCCTCGGCCCAAATAGGACAATGAGCCTGACTGTGTGGAAGAATCCAGGCCCAATCCCGGTGCAGGACCATTTGATACAAGATACGGCTGGCCCAAACCATCCGAGCACAAGCTTCTTAATCCCAATTCATTTCCTGGGTCCATGAGCGAATCCAGAGCCCACGGCCCCTACAGATCACTTTCCTATTCCTGATCAATCTCCTATTCGAGGTCACCTTCCTGTTCAGATGACTTTCCTACTCGAAGTTGCTTTCCCGATTGGGATTACCTTCCTATCCGGACACTGGTAAGACAACTCACCACCGCCCTAACTCCTCTAGGGTTGTATCAGAATCACATTAGGACTCCTACTTCTATCAGGATTGGGAGACCAGACAGTCACTATATAAGCAGAGGCCAACCCTCTCACAAGGGACATTACATTACACCTTCACAGCTGAAGCTCTGACTTGAGAGCTTCACATCATTGTCGTAGTCACAGTCCTCGACTAGACTTCCGGTAACCTCTCTATTCCCTAACCCTCATTATATTAGTCTCTTTCAGCCTTGCTGACTTGAGCGTCGGAGTGCCTACGACAAACACTACCTTGGTGTTTTCCGTTTGCTTCACGCTTGTTTCTCTACGTGTGCAGGTACAGCGGATCGCTAGTGGCCTCAACCTCACAGGATCAGACCCCCCTTCCGTACAGGTAGATTTTTACGTCTACATAACCAAATCTAAAATAACCTTGTTAGATAAACCATTAGTCAGATAAATTAACCTTAATTTACAATATAAAAAATTAAAAATTAAAGAAAGAAAAGCTCTTTAACTACACATACAAGTTACGCGTGGTTGGCTGGCACTGGGGTATTCTAGATTTGCACATAAAAAGGTAGAGACGTGACAAAGTTTTTTACATTAAAGATGACCCTTAAGTTACATATCTATATTGATTTCCACATTTTTTATGAGAAAAAAAATTAATTCATTTGTATCACAAGGAACACTTCAAAAAGGATTTTGAGGATAAACTATTTTAACACATGAACTTCAAGTATGATAAAATAATGTCAAAAAAGGATCTTTTCTATAGATTAGGTCAGTTCTAATCCATCCAACATCTCTTATTAATGGTCAAGAGTTAGATTACACATTGCTTTAACGTACAACTTCTTCCCATTAATTATCTGCCATTAAATTCTAAGCACTAGAATATCTAAGCAAGTCGATTTTCCCATCAAATTTTTTACAATCTATGCCGCTTATAGTTTAAACAAATCAAAATTAGCAGTTGGCGGCTAACGTATATGCTCTCAGTCAAATCTAAATTATGAATAAACCATAAACCAATCAGCACACAGTACTCTTATTATCTCTGTCCTTATTCTTCAATGGCACCAAACTCAGCAGCCTTAAAGTTCCTTCTTGTTGCAGGCATTATAATAAGTCTAGCTAATGCTGCCAATGGGCTTTTAGAAACCGATATGACATTCTACTTACATGATGTCTCAGAAGGTCAAAATGCCACATTCTTCCCAGTTGCAGGCATTCCAGGCAAGCTTTGGTCATCCACTCAATTTGGAACCGTTTATGTGCATGATGACCCCATAACAGAGGGCCCTGATCCAAATTCAGCTCCAGTTGCACGAGCACAAGGCATGCACGTTATTGCAAGTTCCGATGGAACTAGTTCACTTGTCATGATGTCTTTTGTGTTCACTAACGAGGCCTACAGTGGCAGCACTCTTCAGATTTTTGGTACTAATAGGCAGAACGAGGCCGTTAGAGAGGTTGCTGTGATTGCTGGGACAGGGAAGTTTAGGTCTGCAAGTGGTTATGCCATGTTCCAGAAATATATCGATTTTCCTGATGCCTACTCAGTTATCCAATGCTACATTTCCATACATTATAATATATAATTAGAAGGGATTGTTGATGTCTCTTGTTAAGTGATAAGAATTATCTTTTTATAGAATAAACCTTTAGATGCAAATTCCACCTAAAGTGCAGTGTGGCTGTGTCTATCAGTAAGAGAAATTAAGAAGAAAATGTTGTCGTGCTTGTGCAACTAACCATTTGGTTAGAAGATGAATAAAATGATGTTGCTTAATTCGTGTTTCGTTTTCGTGTTTTTGTCAGCGAGTCAAGTGACAACTGAAAACTGTTTGGCTTTATAACTAATTAATCAATTACGAAGGCTGTGCTCCTTTTAAAAAAGTAATGCTAGAACTGGAAGGGACAACGCAGATAAATTGGCCTCTCCTTAAAAGAAATTTTTCATGAGTTAAATCGCTTGGAGTATATCAGAGTGCTGTATCATAAATGTGAGGCAACCCAATTTTACACCTTAAGCTGTAACTGGTAAGGAGCATCAGAGTCTTTCAAGTGCCATTCTTCTTCATATTGTCTTTGAATTAACGATATCCTTTTCAGCTACCCTACCCTTTGGTGGCTGACAAAGCAAATAGCACGAACAGAGGCAAAGTGAGAATTATAATGCAGAGCTAGCTAATGGGGCTCAATCACAATGATTTTATCTGCTGTTTGAGAAAGTCTTTAAGTCCATATTGGTTAATATTTGTGTAAACGACTTCCCCGGCATTCACTCTGAAAATCCATGCATACATATATATGTTTCCAGCGCTGTACAGAGACCAAATATTACATAAAATCCATTCAACTACCATGCCAATCAAATATTATGACCTTTTCCACGCATTTTTTTTTTTTTTTTTAATTTTGATTGGCTAGTTTTACTGAAGCCCAAGAGACTACAGAAAATGATACGAGAGAACAATGCTGAATACAGAGAACCCGTATGATCTTTTTGACTTCTTATAATCGATCACCCGAAATAATTTATATAGTAGAAGTTAACATATATACGATATTATATAAATTAATGAACTTGACTACATTGAAACAAAGGGAAGCTCAAAGAGAAGAGAGTATCTAGCGAGTGAATAATCTACTGTATCCCAACTTATCACAATTCTTGGATCCCATCTGCACTGCAACTTATCGCAACATACTAATTTTTACAAAATTAACAGAGTATTCCTATAGAATCGGAGATTAATGTTACTCGTGATGTGAGCCATTGCTTGGGGATTGGTTTCAAAAGTACGTTCCAAAAGTGTGGCTTGTTATAATATTATATTGCAAGCTTCAATTACTATTTATATCAGACTAATATTATAACGTGATGTACGTATGTCCACATACTTTATTGCTAATCAAACGCTGAAATTGTGACAAAACAAGTCCCCATTGGCATTAAGTAATAAAATATTCCCAAAACAATCATCAACTTCAGTCTTCAGCTAATGGATTTAAATGTCTATGAAGTAATAGCAGCATATGACTATGCGAAAGAAAAAGTTATTGACAAAAACTTAAAATCAGAAGTAAAGCTATGAATATGATTGGTCGTGGAGAAATTTAATCAGCATTTTTCACAAGGAACCGATGAAGTATTCGTTGATGTATTAGTGCAAGTACGCATGCATGCGATGTGTGAAATGCGCATATTGCCGTCGTTTTTCAAACTTTGACATTCACCTATAGTTAATTTCATGATCAATATTTCTCAACCAAATTCATTTTAACAAGAAATTAAAATTAGTTAAAAGCTGAGAAAAACATGTTAAAATAGTTGGACAAGCAACGATCTAGAATCAAGGAGCCCACTGAACACCATACATTCACGTTAATTAAAAGGAGAAATTTAACAAACTAGAACCGTGAAATAATGTACATAACATCATTGTTCTCTGTGAGATCAGGGTCAGGACGTACGCCAATAGATCCTCATTCATTTCTTCCTTTTGTTTGTATTGTGGGCTATGAAGCTGAAGTTGCTAAAATCATGTGGTTTAAAACATTCATGTTATCAGTCTATACCCTACAGCATATTTGTTATGCTTGAAAAAGTAGGGCTGACAAGAAGCATCATCAATAAAGGATGGTCAGAGTTCAGAAGGGTTCTGCGCCGTCCAGGCGCGGCCACGTCGCGCCTAGCGCAAGTGGCATGGCTCATGTTAGTGCAGTTGGTAGGTGCCAGGCCAGCAAGCAGCTAGAGATCGCCCACGTGTCAAAGCCCTGCTTTAATCGAGGAAATCCCTCGGGCAAGTGATCAATGGAACGCAAAGAAAGGATTTGCACGACACTACCCACTTGCAGCTTTCATAATCATTACCTTGAACTTTCCCACTATAAATAGAGGACTTCCTTCTCATTTGTGGGGATTAGTTGATTTTACGCTGAAATAGCTTTTTCTCTCTCTAAACTGTAACTCAGCTCGCTGAACACGACCTGATCACTCTCTTATTAATACAATAGTAGTGGACGTAGGATTCGCTTTAGAGCATCTGAACCACTTTAAATATTTCTCTCACCTTTTATTCGATTCAATCCCCTCATATCACGTGTGACTTCTAAGTCATTTTAGCATTTTACTCGTGTGAGTAGTTGGTGTCAAAATCAAGTATCAACAGTTTGACGCTAGAAGGAGGGCACTGATTTAGTACCTACTCTTCATCAGAAAAATCTCTGACTAATCGGTCTCACAATAGCAAATGGCTCGCGGTTTCGAATCTGAGCGAACCAATCATGGCAATGAAGAAATGCCCCAGATCCAGGAAAACACTTCTCTCGAAATGTCGCCAGACCAGCAGAATATTATGGGGGATATTCCTTCAAGTTCGCGGCTCGACCTAGCCGTCATAAGTTACTTGAAAAGGTTCAATAATACTCTTTAAATGGTCTGCCTAAGGCTAGCTTGATTGGATTGGGTCATGCCACCCGAATCCAATGAGGCTGTAGTACTGCCAAAAATGCCTGCAGGTTGCATGAAAGCGTAGAAAAAGGCAAAAGCCCATACTGCGTGTACTACAACGTGTCAGAGAAAGGGAAAGCAAGTGGCGCACAGCGGACCTAAGGGCTTTGAAGGACTAGCGAACACCAATTGTGCCCCGTGTAGATTACCCGTGGCATTGCGACTCGGCGATATGTCGCAGCATGAGTTGTCCCACGCCACAACGCACGGGCACTCCCATAAAGGTGTAAGGCGGGGAGATTCCCAATATCGCCAAAATGACGACTTCAGTCGTCGTCGTGCAGGGGATTCCCATCCTCTGTGGGTCAGTTTGTACCACCGCGAAGGTCGGGAAGACTCCTCGAATCACACGACTCTAGCCAGCGTGTGCCGAGATTGGTTGGAGCTTCCGATCGATGAGAGGAAGAGTCTAATTTGCGATCTTTGCTTAACTGCAACAGTGAGGGTTGAACCCACGTTGCGGAAAGTGATCCCCAGGTAGCTCCGTTGCCTCAGATTGAGGAACTACAACAAGCTCTGGGGGATCATTTATACGAGTTCAACGACCTCATGGAACTTTACCAAGTCTCTGACTTGTCAAAATGTCGTTGCTTAGCAGTAACCCTTACCGCCCATGCCAAGCGTTGGTTCAGGTCGCTTCCAACAAGATCGGTCAACTCATGGCCTCAAATGAGCTCGACATTCCTGAGGCACTTTCAGGCGAACAAGAAGTTCTCAATGCCGTTAAACTACCTGAGCAATATACGGCAGGAAAGGGATGAACCCCTCCAATATTATATAAACAGGTTCCACAAGGAGCTCTACAAAGTGGCTCATACTCTCGAAGAGTTTGTTTGGACTCTCATCGTTGCGGGAGTTCGCCCGCAGATAGACTTATGGAAGGAACTGCAATCTGAGGATGATGTTTCCCTCACTCACTTCTACAACCTTACTAAAAAGTACCTCCGGATCAAAAGTTTCGTGGCAGCTCTCAGTTGCCATGACCCCGGTCCGTCAGGTAGTGCTTCTGACTGGAGGGAGAATAGGAGGGCTGATCGCAGATGGGCTAATGATGATCAACGAAAAGAAAAGAAGCAGCGGTATGAGCCCAAGCAATCTTATGCCCTAGTTTCTCGTTTTGATCGCGACAAAAGTGAATACACTCATCTGAATGCCTTGGTATCGGCTATTCTGGATAAATCAGAGGAGGCCGATTTGCTCGAAGAGCCCGAGCCTATGAAGAATCCCCCCTTAACCAAAAGCAATAAAAAGTACTGCCGTTATCATCGGGATAATGGGCACCACACCGATGAGTGTCGGGCCCTCAAGCAAGCAATTGAGGACCTTATTAAACAAGGGTACTTCAAAGAGTATGTTGATGACTCAGCTCCCATTCGGGAGAAAAATCAAGAGGAACCAGGGAAGGGTCGTCATGGTCGTAAAGGTCTCTACAGTGTGGGGATCATCTTTGGAGGACCACACCCCGCGAGAAACTCTCGAGGTGCCCAGAAAAGGTATGCTTTGGCAGCCCGTCATGACCCCATAAGTGTCATGAGCACGACGCCGTGACCCACCAAGGTTTGCAGAGAGGAGGAAATCACCTTCTTTGAGAAAGACACTGTGCGATTACATCATCCCCATGAGGATGCTCTCGTCATCACGCCTGAAATAGGTCGGTGTGAAGTCCACAAGATACTGGTAGACAATGGAAGCGTCATGAATATCTTATTTTAGCGAGCCTTTGAGAAGATGAAACTGGACAAGGCAGATCTGAAGCCTGCCTCTATCCCTCTGTACGGTTTCACTGGTGATCATTTGATTCCCAAAGGGATGATCTCGCTTCAGGTCACGTTGGGAGAAACCAACGAGCTGACCAAAATAACTGAGTTTTTAGTAGTAGACCGTCCTTTCGCTTTTAATGGCATCTTGAGATGACCTCTATTACGAAGCTTCAAGGTAGTCACCTCAATATACTATCTAAAGATGAATTTTCCCACCCCGACGGGGATAAGGGAAGTGAGTGGATTTCAACGCGCATCTCGCGAATTATATGTAAGGGCAGTGCAGATGGCATGCAAGGGAAAAGGAGCACCTGTTGGCATC